ATCTTTAAAAAAAAATAAATTTAAATGGTTTAAAATATAGAAGCTAGTGAATTACAAAAAAACCTGTACCATTCCATACAGACTTTGTCCTGGCTCTTTATCAAGCAATGTAAGAGGAGGAAAAAGGAGTGATAACGAAAGGAGAAAGGGAAGAGGAATGCCGAAACATCTGAAACTAATCTGCTGCTACCACAAAAGTACTGACAAAAGTGGTTTCACAACCACGGAGCAACACTGTTTCACCTCCATAGCAAAACATGAACAGGGTGGGCCTACACCTAGAAAGACAGCCTCTTCCCCCATGCGAGAAGACACATTTGTTACAGCTGTTCATTCATTCATTCATTCATTGGGGGCAGAGGGAGAGAGAATCTCAAGTACGCTCACGCCCACCAGTGCGGAGTTGGAACGCAGCTCAGATCTCACAAGCCCAAGATCATGACCTGAGCCGAACATCAAGCATTGGATGCTTACCTGACTGAGCCACGCAGGCGCCATCAAATAACTACCTGATCAGCACAAAAACTGTACACTTTATATAAAGAGAACTGTATTTGTAAAAACAGGCTGAATAGGATTTCTACATACTCCTGTATATATAACTGAAGTGATAAATCTCAGTGTTGTAATAAAATTGCGATTTTCCTCTTCCTAGCTACTCATTACAATACCTTCTGATTTACAAATGTTGGCTCTTCCTTATATTCACAGTTAACATATGCCCATCCATGAGTAATATTTCTAAGGTCTTGTTTACATAGGTTTACCACTCCAAAGAGCTTCTTAAAAGATTCTTTATCTTACCATAAGTGATCTCCACCCTCCATAAGTCTGTACTAGGGATACAGAACTAAAAGATATTAAATAAATTCATCTGTATCTAATCTGTCTTTAAGAAAGTTTTGTTTTCTTCCCTAAGGCAAAGCAGAATTTGAAAAGGGGGCAGAAGTGGGGGAGGAAGTAATATCCCTTCTCTTCTCCTATTTTCTGTGTGGGTGGGGGGGATTCTATTTGGGGCACCTGGGTGGCTCCGTCGGTTAAGCGTCTGCCTTCGGCTCAGGTCATGATCGCAGGGTCCTGGGATTAAGCCCCGCATCGGGTTCCTTGCTCTGTGGGGAATTTGCTTCTCCCTCCCCTCCCCGCTTGTACTCTCTGTCTCTCCTTCTCTCGCTCTCAAATAAATAAATAAAATCTTAAAAAAAAAAAATTCTATTTAAAATTAATTAAAAGCTTGGCTAAAGGGTGCCTGGGTGGCTCAGTGGGTTAAGTGTCTGCCTTCAGCTCAGGTCATGATCCCAGGGTCCTGGGATCTCGTCCCGTATGGGGCTCCCTGCTCAGCGGGGAGCCTGCTTCTCCCTCTCTCCCCTATTCGTGCTCTCTCATTCTCTCTCTCAAATAAATAAAATCTTTTAAAAAAAAATTAAAAATAAAAATAAAAAAAATAAAAAGCTCGGCTAAAAGTCCATTTGTAGAGACAAAACTAAAGATATGCTGTAGCTTTGTTATTTCATGACTCTTACTTTGAGTTAACATGAAGGCTCTATTCATTTTCTAGAATGAAGTCTTTCCGATAAAGATTTTAAAAGTACAAATGCTAATTCCCAGTGATTTTCATTATAAAACTAAAAATATATACCCAAAGTAGGCACTAAAAATCTCGAGACTAATTTAAGCCCTTTGCATGGGTAAAACTGAGGTAACGACCAGACTCGCTGGTAAAGCAAGCTCTGTAACAGACCATCCAAACCTACCACCACCGCTCTGCTCACTTCCTTCTTCAGTCTTCATATCTGTAGTGACTACCAAGGCTGGGCTACAGGGCCATGCTTTTAAGTCAGACACAAGACTTAAGGCTCCACAAAGCTAACAATTCTCTACTTTTAATTGTAAAAATTAAAAGTTCTGCTTACAGAGTTTCTTAAAGAATTTACTTAACACGGGCAAATTCTATACTTTCAAAAAAGGATATTATCAAAATGAGTCAACATCTGTATAGTGCACTTAGTTTATAAACTATAACTTCTCACTTGGTTCTCATAGGGAGCCTATGAAATCAGTTAATTATTACCACCATTTTAGAGGCCAATCTGTTTTACTTGCCCCAAATCATACAACTGGTAAATGGTGATGCCAGAATTTGAACTCCCTTCTGTCTGGTTTCCAAAGCTTTTCAACTACACTATTACATCCCCATCATACATCTTACCTGATAGTTGTCAGATCTCAAACAAATATGGACTTGACTATATGAAGTCAATTGTTGAGATGTACTATCAGAAGGGACAAGAACATCACATGCTTGACAATAGCCCGCTAACCGCTTCTCATCTATGGTACAATGAAGAGATAATGAACCTATCTGTAAAGTAAGAAGTATACATCATTATCCATCAATGTGACATAAACAACAGTCTAGTATCCACGCAATGCATTTTAACAGTACAAGAAAACGTAATGGAAAATTCAGGGCTGGAGGAACCAAAAAAAACCCCAAAAAGGTTAAAAGTTTAGAGCACGGGTTAGCCAACTATTGTTCACAGGCCAAATTTGGCCTGTGGCCAATTTCTGTAGACCTCTTGAGCTAAGAACCACATTTAAGGTTGTAAAGGAAAAAAACAAAACAACACAACAAATGAGTATATTAAACTGAATATAGCCCACAACGCCTAAAATATCTACTCTTTGGCCTTTTACAAAAGTTTGCTGACTCCTGGTTTAGAGTTTTCAGGCCAACATACAAAAGGTAGACATCATCATTACTCTAAGTAGGAATGACAATTAAGACATTAACAAAGAGCGAATACTGTTAAATAAAAGTATTTAAAAATACGTAAGAGGAGAACAAATCTGATGAGACACCTGGACAAAGTAAAATGGGAATTCCCAATAGGTCTAGAATAGATTTAAAGTAAATCTCTTGAACATTTATCATCTTTCTCTGATGAGAAGAGACTGAAATGGGAATTGTTCTAGGCACGAAGCACATAAAAACCTATATACTTTAAAATCCAGTTGCCGGAATCATAAAAATAAAAATGCAAGTGATAAACATATGAAAAAGTTCACCCTTACTAAGAATTAAGGAAATGCAAGTGTTTTAAAGTTGTCAGATCTCAAACAAATATGGACTTGACTATATGAAGTCAATTGTTGAGATGTACTATCAGAAGGGACAAGAACATCACATGCTTGACATGTTTTAAAGTTACTGTTATTTCACCCAACCAAATTAGCAATTGGAGGGGAAAAAGAAAAACACACTGCACTGCAGATCAGAGTACCCTGAGAGAAATGTACCTGGAAAGCAACTTGGTTTTATGTTTCACAGCCTTTACAAAATTAATAACCATTGACATGATAATTCCACTTGTAGGAATTTAACTTGAAAGTATCTAAAAACCAAACAAAAACTTATGCTTGGAGGGGCACCTGGGTGGCTCAGTTGGTTAAGCAGCTGCCTTCGGCTCAGGTCATGATCCCAGGGTCCTGGGATCGAGCCCCACATCGGGCTCCCTGCT